AAAAAAAAAACATCTTTCCGTCGAATATGGCCAACCCTGTATATATATACATACTATATAGCTATATTAGTAATTAAAAGCTATATTTATAAACTTAAAGAAAATACCCCTAAAAATATGTAAAAGTGACGAGGTGTATGCTGATAATCTATCGAATGTTAGCGATCAGGTATCAGACAGCAGTGATGAAGAATCAATCAGTCTTTAATTTGCAATAAAGCTTACAAAAAGTGCCGATGGCAGCCAGAGTTTTCGTCATGCTGGCGGCAAGAATAAACTTTTTTTTTGAAAAGTGCGTCAGTGTTAATAATTCTACCACTCTTAAATGTTGCTTCGTCTGACCACAACACAGATAGAAAAAAGAGTAATTATACACTTTAAGAGACACCGCGTCAATGACCTTGACCTTGATTGTCATGATTCTGAGTAACTTTGACTGAGTAACAAGTAGGTGGTGATCTCTTATAGTTTTTATCTTGAGATATTTACTTAAAGGTCTAATTTGTGTAATAAATTTTTCTATTTGTGTAACACATTTTTTGTTTTAAAATATATTTTATAACTTTCTACGCGAAGCGACTTTCATCCCACCTCTCTGCCTACTGCAGGGGTACACGACTTTCCATGAAATGACGCCCACCCAATTCTCCCCTCCTGCCAGGGAACGTAAAAACTCGTGCGCCTCTTGGCATGAGGAGGGAAATGGAGACTGCAATTCTGAATTTTCCTTTTCTATTGTGCTAGGTTATTGATGAAAGACATCACTTTGAATAAGTTTTTGTTCCTTGCTGTAGCGTTCCTTATCTCTATACATTATTGGTAATGCTTCTATATTTTCATCTGCAATCAGATTTATCTCTTTTGCATTCTCTTTTTCTCCTGTTTTGTTTTTGTCTGGAAAACGTGATAATATCAGCGTTTCCGTGTTTAAGTGTAGGTCTGTATTTGATATCTATAATACAATTTGGAATCACGGTGATGGAAAATCTCGGCGATTTCTCGGCTCTTCTCGAAAAGATTCGTTTTGTAGCGGTTTCCACTAAGCGGTAGCACGGCGATTTTACGAAGCGATATAGTAGCGAGATTATGACTCTAAGAACTCTAAGAACTTTTGGACTCTAAGAAGGAGGACGGCGAGATCGAAACATTTATTGCTTTCGGCCTGGGCTTTCTTCTTGGGAAAAATCCAATAAAATTTTGCCACAATCGTAATTATTACGTGGCATTAGTTGTACAAAATTGATTGGAGCTTTGGATTCTTTTCTAACGTCGTTCAACGTAACAGTCATGCGCGACAGAAAATCCGTACGTGGGATTGGTGACAGCGCGTGACGTATTCGTCGGAGCGCGGCGCTCGCGTGCGCGAATTGAATTGTTCTAGAACTTTCGATGTCCGTTGCCGGAGCTTGTTTGCGTGTACCGAATTGGTTTAAAAAGAACAAAGAATGCCAAATCGATGATTTTAACGAGGATTAAGATTATGCTCGAGATGAAATCACGAGCTCACTTTATGCGTGCGTTCAATGACAATTACTGTCGGTCGACTGAAGGAATTCTTGCTTTTCCCGAATTAACGATCTCAAACAGTTGTATAATTGATTTTTCTGACATTGATTTTTCTTCCAAACAGAGTAATGCTTCTTAAGTATTATAATATTACATGAAATGTAATGCTGTACGATAATGTTGCGTCCGCGGTGAATAGTTATTAAATCTTTTACAAAATAAATTATTATAATATTTCTTGTACGTTCTCTCCATCTCTTGATCTTTTTTTTATCTAAGAGAGATATTCCATGTAAGAAAGTATTGGTCGCCCTTAAAAGGGCGGATTGCTATCCGTCGCTCTAAAAAAAACGGATTGATTGTGATGGATAAA